ATTTTTTGACCACCACCCTAAAAGATAGAATAACTGTAAGGAGCCATTTCTGAAAGGGACCAGATGCATGGCAGAATGCGGGATGTGGACCCAGCCATGAGAAATTAAAGAAGGAAAGTAGGAAGGGCTCTGCTGAAGCACAAGGTGAACGCACTCCGTCGCACTAAGATCTTTGGTGCTTTGTAAATTAACAGTGACTCGGCTGAATTCTTAGAAATTTCGTCTCAGAAGAACAGAAACCTGTTCGATGCGTGTATCACCTCCGTGCCATTGCTCACCAAGTCCGAATATTTCCAGATTAATGTCATTAGCAGCAGCTGTGTGTCTCAATCGTTTCAGGCCATCTGTTTCCTCGGTCCCAACGGTTACAGCAAGCAGTGCCGGCACTGCAGAAGACAACTGCACCGATATAATAACCAGTAAGGCAGCAGCGCCTAGCTCCACCCATACCGCCCACGCCATATCTGTAAACACCAGATGCCTTTTGAAAGAAGCAGAATATGAAATATTTAGATCGCGGATATCCTCGTAAAGTTTCAGCTTCCTAGCTTGACTGGTTGGCGAAATTGTTTCTGTTACATTTATCTTTGACATGTCCGAACACACAGTACAGGCGTACGCCAAAAAAAAATTTACTTCATGCCTGTGTGCTCAAATACAAATATTCTCCTAAAGTTCGAGCGCTCAAACCAATACACTTCCCGAACTGGCATCCTGCCAGCGACTGCGTAATCTCAATTATGACATATCCGTGTGCGTTAAAGCTGAATTTGAAATTTTTTGCTCAAACAAAGCAACAGAACATCCCCATGAAATTTCAGCTTCCATCTTGTCTGGTTTTCGAAATCGCTTTCCTCCCAAAAAATTGACATATATATTTTTTAGGTGTTCGTATGTGAGACGATGCGTATGCGAATGATAATATTAAAACTAGATGGTAGAACATGGGTGGGTTACTGCTCCAGAAGTTCCACCCTCCTGACTTTCCTGGTATTCGAGTAAAAAGTAGGGTGACAAAACGCAAATGCACACACACACACACACACACACACACACACACACACAACTTTTTGTCAATGTGCCTTTTTGCATTTGCATAAATATACAAGCATAAAAAGGATTCAAATCCGGTTACCTGTGCACCCGGTTTGCCGGTGCGTCCACGCGTTTTTGCGCTAAACATGAAGCCGTTAGATCGTTACAATTTAACATATTTTGGGACGTTTTCTTGCATGCGCGGGGAACGCAGCGAGGAGGAGGGAGAAAGAGTGTCGGCTGAGACGACAGTGTTGCATCGCGGAGCAGCGTGAAATCTCAACCGCTGGGAACTCATGAACACCGTGGTTTATTCGGCGACCGCTTGTTCATCGAAAAATGCAGATTTGGCAGCGAACAAGACGTCAAAAGGGGATGGCAGGCTGTTTCGGTTTCCGAGTTGATAATTTTCCTGCCAAAAACTTCATGTATCCGCACGTGAGCCATGTGCACTTACGAACCGGATTTGAAATCTTTAGGTCGCACCTGGAGAGGTAGCATGTTCCCAAAATTTCAGCTTGCTAGTTGGCACTTTCCTGCCGAAACCTTCATATGCCCGCACATGAGAATTACACGTACGCAGGTTGAAGCCCCTGAGTGTACTTGGGCAAGGAACGTCCTCTTAAAATTTCAGCTGCTCCGCTTTTCTGACTCCGAGCTTTCACGCAGTCATATGTGAAATTCAGACGTGCAAATTACTGCCATTTTCCTGGTATCGCATGTAATCAGGAAACCAGCTGGCAAGATTTCAGCATCAAAGTTTGCCTGGTTGCCGCGCTGATATTTATATGGACGACCACAAAAACACAGACGTGCATACACACACAAGTGCACAAGCACACACATACCATGAGCTAGTGCAATGTGTGTTTCCACATTTGCATAAATGCGCAAAAACACATAAAAATATTGATTGCTTACACATATAATCATTGGCGAGGCGCACCAGGGAGCCAGTGCGACCATGCGTTTCTGCAGTACTTCGTGCTGTAGTAAGATCAGTTGGAGTCCCAGTAGCTAGAATTTGAGACATACTGGTCCTCAGAGTACTGTAAGTTAATGGTGCTACTACGTTGTACTTGGACAGGAAACATTCCGCTAAAATTTCATTTTCCCAGCTTTTCCAGTTCCCGAGTTAGCAGTTTTTTTGCCAAAAATTTCCACGGGGCCTGGGGGCTGTATTTTAAGTCCTTAAGTTGTACGTAGCTGGGGAGTATCCTCTGAAAATTTCAGCTGCTCGGCCTTTGTGTGTTTTTGCTTATATGCAAGTGCAAAAACGCATATTTTTGACGACCCCAGTGTGCAAGTATATTTGTGTGTGTGTATGTACGTGTGCGTGTGTGTGTGTGTGTGTTCGTCTGTTCGGGTATTTCAACTCGGCAACCAAGCAAGCTCCGGCGCCAAAGCTTTGTCAGTGAGTTCTCCGGCTAAATGCCACCCCAGGACCGCGGCACCAACCCTCATGCAGGTCTGAGCCCCGCGTATAAAAGGGTGGAAGTTTTAGCGGCAAAATCGCCAACTCGTGAATCAGAAAAACAAGAAAGCAGAAATTTTGAGGCAAAGTCCCCCATCCACATAAAACTCTAAGATTTCAAATTCAGCCCCCGCGTGTGCGTAGTTCTCATGTAGGTCCCCATGAAAATTTTTGGTGCGAAAATGGCTAATCCGGAACCAGGAATGCTGAGGAGTGAAGTCTTATTGTTATGTTCCTAGCCCTCCTAAATGTTAAACATATCATATTCTGCTCCTAGATACGTGTGGCTCTCACCCATGAAATTTTTTGGCAAGAAAATTATAAAGTCAAGAATTAGAAAAGTTGGAAAGCTGAAATTTTAACGGAATGTTCCCTCTCCAAGTGCCGCATAGTCAATTAACTTCCCGAACTTCGAGGGCCAGTATGTCAGACATTCTAACTACTGGGGTTTCCGAGCGATCTCACTACAGAACGAAATACTGCAGAAACGCATGACTGGACGGGCCCACCGAGTGAGCATCGCCAATAATTTGGTTCCCGAATTCCCACCAAAACTTTCGTATGCTCGTATGCGCGAGGGTTGACACTGCGATTCTAGGGTGGCACCTGGCCAGAGGACCCACTGGCAAAATTCCAGCGCCGAAGCTTGCCCGGCTGCCGAGTTAAAATACCCGTACACATACACACACAAACACACATACACACACACACACACACACGAACATATACACACACACACGAACATCTATATACACACACACACGCGTCGTCATAATATGGGTTTTTGTGCGTTTTTTGCATCTGTGCAATGCAAAAACGCATATCATCGAGGGGTTGTCTGTGTGTATGTATATGCGTGTCTGTGTGTGCGTCTCTAACGAGTTTTCATCTCGAGATCCACCGAAGCTACAAGGCTGAAAATTTAGTGACTTAATCTATACATGCATGCGGGTTCGTATCCTCAAAATCGACACTCAGCTCCACGTGGTTCTCACGCAGGGACTCGTGAAAATTTTTTTGGCAGGAAAGCGTTTTCGGGAACGGCGCAAGTTAGAAGGCTGGAACTTCACCAGAGATGTTCCTTGGCTGCATCTGGTCGAAAGATTTCAAATCCAGCCTTCACGTACCCTTAGGTCTCATG